TACAAATTTATTTTTAGCAGAGTTGGTCTCAAACTAGACTGATTTACTAGAATTGTTATTGTCATTCCACAAGTTTGATGCTTACTGTTTTTCCCTGGAAGCTCAAGTCTGTTTATTTATTTATTTTACCAGAAAGAAAGCCCAACCTTTCTAGAAGACCTCAAAGTTCACGATTCATTTCTGTGGTTTTCAGAGTAAAGTTTACCAACCAAGAGGAGGAGGAGGATGAAGAGCAGGATGGTGGCTTGGTGGTGGAGCTAGAGGGAAAAGATGAGAAGATGGAGCGTCAGGCCGACCTGTGGTTCAGCAAGGTGTGTGTTTGACTCGTAACGCAACATCTAAAGCTCAGGTATTCTTCTGCGGCACCTGCTTCCTACTTGATTTCTGATCTTTCACCGTGCTTTGTGTACCCGTAGGGCATCTTCTCTGAGATTGGCCTCGAAGGAGACGCAGAGAGCGAGCTCAAACAGACCGAGTGGCTCCGGACTAAACAGTCAGGTGTGAAGTGTTTCTCCTCCTCGTGTTCATGTCTTCACACTCACACGTTCACATACATGTTATTTTTCACAGCTTTAAATGAAATTGTGTTTGTGAGGGACTAGTAGCTATCCTTGTATGTATTCTTACTTCTAGGAAAAGGCAAAAAGAGGAAAGCTGAGGAAGACATAAAGGAGGAGGAGGAGCAGCAAGAAGCTGCTCTGCCAGAGGAGGAAAAGGCAGGACCATCACTGGAAGCTGCAGAGGAGAGTGACAGTGACTCGGATGACAGCAGCAATGATGAAACGTAAAAGCACATTAAGTGTGGCTCTCTTTAGTCCAGTGTGTTACATAATTAATAAGCTTAGTTTGATTGCGTAACTGAAAAGAAATCTGCAATATTTCCAATTTCTTAAAACTGTTCTTAACATTAATGCTAATATACAGGTAACATGTTCACCGGTTTCCTTTTAGGGAGATTACCAGAATGAAGCAGGCCCGGGGGGCTGGTGCAGTATCAGGAGAGGTCGATGATGACGACGACTTCCAGGTTGTTCCTGTCGAAAGTACCAGTGAGTATGACAATGAGGTCGTCAGCATCCCCAAACACTTCTCGTCATCATCTAAATGTCGCATATAGACATTTCTTTATTTATGCACATTTGGGCTCCAGAACAATTGACAGAGCTCATCTTAAGCCCTACGTTTGAAGCCCTACAAAGAAACTATGCTTTTGCCAGGCAGCACATAATTCTCCGATCTTCTAAATTGTTTGCTTGTCAGTTTTCGAGTGCTGAAACTCTTCCTCAGTGCATCTTTGCACTCAGTGGTGAACCTTTAGTCTGCCATCTTCAGGAAGAGTCAGTCAGTTTTCATGCTTGGTGAGCGCCCCCTGTTGCATGGTGCTGCGTGCTGGCACCCATCCATTTTGGTGTTGCACCTCTAAACTCTTTTGTAACCTGAAGTATTGCACTGCTGCTGCCACAGCTGGGTTGAAAACTCATTTGAATAACCCGCATGGTTTCCAATAAAAGTGCTCTTAAGTTAAATAACATGCACCATTGCATCTCAGCAATATTTGATATGTCTATATGTCCTATCTCATGCTTTAGAGCTTATATTCTGTTTTTAGCCTGTGTGTGTGTAACTCTGGATGACTGACTGTTTCTTTAGGTAAGAAAGCTAGAATCCTGAGTCCAGAAGGCCTGGCACTCGGCACTCAGATCGCTACATCTAAGAAGAGGGCAAGGGACCTGGTGGACAGCTCCTTCCACAGGTGTGTGTGCTTTGGATCTTTTTCCATTACAATCCAGAACTAGCAAATGTCCGTGGTTGTCATCATAGCGATGAACTCTGCTGCCCGTATCATCTCCAGGACCCCTTCTGTCCACCACATCACTCCTGTCCTGCAGCAGCTTCATTGGCTCCAGGTCAAATATCGCATCAATTTCAAAATACTCTTGTACACATTTAAGGCTATTCATCATCTCTCTCCTCCATATCTCTCTGACCTGGTCAAGATCATCGCCCCATCTCGTTGTCTCAGATCTTCTTCTTCCCTTTCACTCTCCGTCCCTTCCCCCCCGTCTTGCCACCATGGGGAGCAGGGCTTTCAGCTGCTCTGCTCCACGACTCTGGAATTCCCGACCTCCTGATTTAAGAAACATCTCTTCCTTCTCTCTCTTTAAGTCCAAACTCAAAACCCACTTGTACAAAATAGCTTATCCCACATAACCTCTCCACTCTGCTATTTTATTTGTTTATGTCTTATGCTTTTATGATTCTGTAAACTTCTTGCTTTTATGTTGCTTTTATTCTACTATGTACAGTGACCTTGAGTGTTTTGAAAGGCACTTTCAAATAAAATGTATTATTATTATTATTATTATTATTAATAATGCTGCTGAGCGTTCTGTGACCTTATTAGTATACAACACGAACGCTATAACAAAGGTGGATGTCAAAGTGTTGATGCACCTGGGAGGGCTGTTCTATATGATGAAATATGTCGGATGTTGACAGGAAAATATCTGTCGCTTCATGTTATGTGCTATCGTTTGTTTCGTGGTGTCACAAAAAACCCGTATACGGCAGTATCTTGTTTTTCTCTTCTACCACCTACGCAAGAATCACGTGAAGGAGTGTGGAGAGGGTTTATGGATGAGAAGAAAAGAGCCGTCAGGTGGTCAAAATAAACCTTAGGCTCAAACGTTAGAACATGGCTTTTCCCCGCAGCACGCCATGTAATAAATACTCAAGAAGAAAATGGCGGCCGTTACAACTTATGTCTAAAAAAATGCAGTTTTATGTATCGGTTAAAACACTCGACTCCAGGTGCACGACGCCCACACTTCATGCAGGTCGAGTTGCCCGAGATTCACAGAATTTACAGAAAATGCACCGTTTTGTGATTTATATCGTTGTCGTGATGAGAAATTGGTATATGGAGATTTTGGTCAAATGGCACAGCCCTAATACCTGGTGCTCCATCTGTGGCTTTTCGGCAGACTCTAAGACCATGGCGTTGTTTTTTTGGGGGGGTTTTGTAGCCATTTCGGGTTTCAAAAAGGGCAGTTTTGATTTTTTGGAAGGAGACGCTCTTGCGACTCATCGAGTGACGCCACTGACCAGCTAATCGGTGGCACGCACTCTGACGGCGTCACATTTTAGTATCTGCTCGGATTGCTTGGAACCCCAGTCGAGCAGTGGTACCAGGTACTATGACCTAAAACTTTGCTGAGTCAATCCCAATAGGTACTAATGGAAAAGAATCTGCCTTTCAGATTGCTGATTGCATCTAACGATGCGTATACTCGGGTTAACATTTGTTTTCGACAAATAAGGCTTAAACCTGCTGGAATAAGTGAAGATCACGAATAACACCTTGTGTATGCCGTTTCAGGTTCGCCACCTCTGACGAGCCGTGGGAAGTACCGGAGTGGTTCCTCGATGATGAACGGAAACACCGGAAGAGGCCGGTGCCGGTCACCAAGGAGATGGTGGAGGAATACAAACAAAAATGGAAGGAGATCAATGCTCGGCCAATCAAACGAGTTGCTGAGGCCAAGGCCAGGAAGAAGAGAAGGGTAAAACACTTGTAGCCCGAGGAGCTTTTCGAAGTAATCGGTGTGTTTCCGAATGTATTAATTCCGCTGTTTCTTTTCAAGACGTTGAAAAAAATGGAGCAGGCCAAGAAGAAAGCAGAAGCGGTTGTCAACACAGTGGACATCTCTGAGAGGGAGAAGATGGCTCAGCTGAAGAGGTATGTTGTCACATCTGTGGGGCTGTGAAGACAAAACTAACTGGCTGTTTTACCCAGGAGAAAATTTCAATACTGTTTGTGTTTCTTTCAGTATATACAAGAAAGCCGGCTTGGGGAAAGAAAAGAGAGAAGTAACATACGTTGTGAGCAAAAAGGGTGCTGGGAAGAAGGTGAGACGGCCTCCTGGTGTCAAAGGAGTCTTCAAGGTGGTGGACGGGCGCATGAAGAAAGATTTGCGGGGAATGCAGAGAAAAGAACAACGCGCTAAAGGAGGCAAAGGAAAGCGCGGAAAGGGACGACAGGCTAAGGGTGGCAAAGGAGGGGTGAAGAGTGGTAAAGGGCGAAAATGAAAATGCATTTGAGTTTCTGCTTGTCGTTATTATTATTCAACTCCCTGGACTCGTGTTATAACTGAGCATTTGTGGAGCTTGGTGAACTATGATGGTTCAGTTTTGGCTCCTGTATCACAGACAAAATAAACATGAGTCTCTGTTTTGGAACCTTTGCTGGATTTCTTAAAGCCCTGGAGACCTCAGACATGTCTGGGAGATATGACATCCAGGTTTTATGTATACGTCTCTGTGAAGATGTAGCTGATTTGCCTTGAACCCCCTGGAAGGAAGAGGATTCACTGAACAGCTTAACTGTAAAATGCAGTAAAGGTTTATTGATAAATGTTTGTCTCGTGTAAATTCCAATCTTTGCAATAAAGTTTTTGTTCAGATTGGTTGTTCAAGCATTTTACAAAAAAACCATTTCATCCTTTGTCTAATGCAGCCACAGCTATAAAAGTGCAAAAACATCTGTCTTAGACTGCACAGGCCAAGCAGGAAGCGAACTCAACCTGATGAATGACGTCTTTTCTATTTCAAAAAGGCGCGAGTACTTCCTGAAGTCTGACCTGCACAGAAACATCTGCTCAGTGTCCTCGGTCATGCTGGAGAAACACTAACGCTGCTGTGACCTAAATAAATAAACTACATTTTTAAAATTTCTATTACCAAATTGTGTGCATCAATGCAAGTGTAAGAAAGCAAATCTGCTCAAGCACTTATTAGGATTTCTAGTACCTGATACTTTATTTGTATTTCAGTTTGTGTAATTGTAAAAAATGCTCCTGTATGTTTACTTATGAAGTTGCATGTGTGGTTGAGCTGATTTTTAATATCAATACTACGGCTTTACCAAAATGGACTGTTTTTTTTTTCTTCCCAAAACTACATTACCCATGAGCCTTCAAACTTAAATTGCGTCACGCGGTTGTACAGTAAAGCGGTTCCTTTTGCGGAAAGGTCTGTTATGTTGTTTTGTTCAGTATAGACTGTTTAGTTTTAATATGTGACCCACGCCTCAACCTGTCATATTACCTTAAACGTCACGTTTTATTCAGTGAGTCTAAAGTTGCTTTAAAAATTAGCTTTAAACTTAGCTAACGTTGCTAGCTAAAGTTGTGCACACCTGTGCTTGCTTTCACTGTCAAGGATCTAACTCTGGTTCGGAGCCTGTCTTCTCCCGGCCAGGATGTTCTTTATTGCTTTGTTGTGGAGCCTGTCGCTCACTGCCGTGGGCCAGCAAGAGGACAACGAGTGGCTCGACCCTTACGATATGCTCAACTACGATGCTAGCACCAAAACGATGAGGAAGCCTACTGAGGTTGGGAGATTGTTTACTCTGACCCAGCTACATTTGACACGGTTCTGATCACTGTGAAGACGTTGTGTTGTCCAGCTCTGACATTAAGAGTGTGTATTTGCATCGCAGCCAGCAAGCTATGACAACGTGGGCACTAAAAGAAGAGAGTACAATCAGGACCCTAGCCAGACCGAGCTGACGTCCTGCAAAGAGCAAGTGGAGGGCTTACAGAAACAGGTTGGTGTTTTGAATAATAAATCAGGCACAATGCATATTCATATTTTCAAAATATAAGTTTTCCCCCATTCAAATTGAATGAGTTAATTGAAGGTGTAGAACTGAAAAACAATTTCCAATTTGTCTAACAGTATTTAGGCTCCAGGCTTATTACTTTCTTCTCATTGTTAGCACAATTGTTGACACGTTTTACACTCCTGAGTCAAGCTCTGCGTTCAAGCTTAGAAAACAATTTCATGTACCTTTTTAAACAGAATTGTGTGGACGGTTTAAGGAGTCTGGAAAGTTTTTTTCTAAGGGACTTTTGAAATGTAGCCTCTAAAAAGGAAGTAAAGTATGATCTGAGGATCAGGGATAGGACTAGCCGCACTCTAAGCCTCTCACTTTCTATTAACTAGAGTCAGACTTACAGATACTGGACCATCAAGAGTATCAGGACATTACCATAGTAAAAGTCAGGCTGTTACTATGGTGTCAACACATAGTTAGCCTATCACATTCAATCACATTTTATGTATACATGTGCACTCGCTGTGCATGTTTTCTTAGGTACACCTTGTTAGTCCTGTGTTGGAGCCTCTTTTGCATTCAGAGCTGTCTTATGTTCAACAAGGTTCTGCAAACATTTCAGTTCCACCACATCCCAAAGGTGCTCTATTGGCTTGAGATCATCACTGAATGTACAAGAAACCAATTATACATGATTTGACTTTTGTTACTACTTTTAGAACAGCCATTAGTGGGTCAGCAACAAGACTCGGGTAGGCTGAGATGTTTAAATTATGGCGAAGTGTGCCAAGAAGATATCCTTCATATCGTTACACCACCTTCCTTCATTCAGAATGAAGATCAAAAGAAGACGATCAAGCTCATCTCACAACAGCCAACATGCAGTCCAGTGTTCAAGCGATTTCTGAGCAGACTGTTGAAGGAAATACAAAGAGTGGGTGTGGTAGGTGGTCATCTCATGTTTTATGGTGAATTATGAGATTTTAGTTGAACATATTGTGCCATAATTTTTCTCTGGTTCAATAATTGGCCAAGTGTCATAAATATTGCAATTTTAAGACACTTGCTCTAATTTCTCCCCAGCCCAGTGACTCCACAGATGTCTTTTTTGATGCCAAAGTCAAACTGTCCAAACAAGCCATGACAGAGATCCAGACACTTCTGGAGGGTGAAGACAGATGGAGAACAGGCGCTCTGGACAACGCCATCAGTCAGATACTCGTGGACCTTAAACCGCATGATTATGAGGCCTGGAAGTGGCGATTTGAAGACACCTTTGGGGTGGAGCTGGACACAGTATTAAAAGTAAGTTTTTAGTAGCTTTTACCTCTGGCTTCCTTCTATTCTGACTCTTCTTAATGCTTCTACTGTGCTTTAATGGTTTCTATTTTCTGTAACCACTCAAACTGTACTCTGCTCTCTCCTCCAGATCGGGTCATTTGTCCTGATTATAGTAGCCATTATCAGCACCGAACTGTGGACAACGATCTCCTGGTTTGTGCAGTTCCGACGACTGTTTGCCGTCTGCTTCTTCGTTAGTATTATCTGGAACTGGTTCTACCTGTACAAGGTAAATAGGAGCTCCTGCAGCTTTCAGTGGTTTCAGTTTAGCTGTATTTCAGTGCTTTGATTGTAAAATACAATGTTTTTAATAAATATGTATATTTTGTTCAGATTGCCTTTGCTGAGCATCAAAATAATATAGTGAAGATGGAAGGCTTTAATGCAAAATGCACTGGGGTGAAGAAAATTGACTGGAGTGACAGTTTGAAAGGTATGCAATCACCAAGCACGAACAGTCACGGCATTCTGTGAAAACCTCTTGCATCTAAAATATTAACTGGCTGAGAAAAACATTCTTTTTTAGAGCGTATTAAATATCATTTTGAAATACGTTTCACTGCACAGCCATGAGATGGAGAGGAATTTAAGTCCTTGTGGAGTCATTGTGCAAACTCTGAAGTCTCAGCTGCTTTAACAGTTTTAGACTCCAGCATTGCTGTTTTGCATATATTAAGCGTATTTGGCTCATAACGTCTGCCTAAGCTTGGACCTGTATTTGGTATCCTGCAGAGTGGTTTAGAAGCACCTGGACTCTTCAAGATGACCCTTGTAAGAGATACTATGAAGTTCTCATGGTTAATCCCATCCTGTTGGTACCTCCAACCAAGGTAGGCCACTCTTTGGAATGTCTGTTAAGGGTTATTGAGGTTTTGCGGACACATCACCACTAAACACATGGTTTTAATTTGGCTGCCATTTTGGACATGTGACAAATATGTTGACAGCGTAGAAGTGAGCGAGCAAGTTGCCAGTCACACACTGCCCACGACCATACGACAACCTCCAGTTGTGAAGTAAAAAGTACAAATTTTGAAATTGCATTTTGAAACATCTTGGCTGCAGCACTGAAGCACAACTTTGCTTCCATGTCCAGTTTGTGTCACACTTTTTCAAGTTGTGCAACTGCTCGGCTATTAGTTGGCAACTTGTTGCAGACAAAACGTGAAAAAAAACAGCCACTGTGGCAAAAACCAAAGTTGTCACCAGGAAGATTTTGGTACAGCACCTTCTTTACACCGATTTTACCCAGCAACCAGTCTACCTTGTTCTAACTGCTATATATTTTTACCATGCCAAACTGTGTTCCTTGGTATGCGCTTGGACTTTGTTATGACCTAGACATCCTTCTCTTTTTAGGCAATCTCTGTTACCATTACGACCTTCATCACAGAGCCACTGAAGCACTTCGGACAGGGAATCAGTGAATTTCTTCGAGCGCTCCTCAAAGATCTACCAGTTACCCTGCAGATCCCAGTCCTGCTCACTATCGTGATCGCTGTTGTGGTACAAATTGTCCCCTTTTTCACATTAATTCACATTATGGAGCTTTCGTTGTATACACAGCATTATTTGCATTAATAAAGCAATACATTGTATGTCTTTGCTTTGTATAAATAAATATATGTTTGACTCTTCTACAGGTGTTCATGTATGGAAGTGTGCAAGCAGCCTTCCAGCATGGCATCATGGCACCTCTACGCCGCCCTCGAACCGATCCACCACCACCAGAGCTGGAACAACCGCAAGCTCAACCTCGCCTCAGGATTGAGGACTGCAATCATTTTGCAGGAGGGGATGCACCTCAACAGCAACATGCCCTAAGGTACAGAGCTGATGAAGCCAGATTAAACAGGAATGACTTGCATCAGAGGAGACCCAACAGGCAGTGGGTCGAGACTCTAGGAACTGCTGAGGATGAGCCGGACGCTGAGCGGGCCAATGAAGTTCCTGAGGCAGACCAGAATCCGTCTGTTGAGCCAGATTCAGAAAACCAGCGGGGAGCAGAAGAACGGCCACCAGCAGCAAAGGATAACAGCGTTGGTGAAAACAAAGCCAAATCGGAGCCAAAAGCTGCTCGGTCAGATTCGTCTGAGTCGAAGAATAAAACTTCAAAAGGGAATGAGAACCTTTCTCAAGATCAACCAGACAGAGATGTTGCACTGCTCAGACCTGAGCTCCCAGACGTGCAGCCTGTCGATGAGGTGAGCCCCCCCCCCCCCCCCCCCCCCTTTTTTTTTTTTTTTTTTTTTTTTTTTTTTTAAGATTTTTGTTTATATTCATTAGGGCTGCCACAAATGAGTATTTTGATAGTCGACTAGTCACCGATTATTTTTGCGATTAGTCAACTAATCAGATCATGCATCCATTGAATGTAAAACCTGCAGCTTATTGCACCAGCATGCATCTACTCTTATATATCATTAGCTTACAGCTTTAAGTGTTTCAGGTATGTGCTAACTAAAAATAAAGAGAAGATGATAGTTTATTAAATTTTAATGAAATTTGTAGATTGTTTCGGTGGAGTTTAATAAACTCACCGCAGTATATTCTCGAGCATCTCACACTTCTGATAATCAGCTGTCTGCTTGACTTTACTCAGCTGTGTAAAAACTATAACTTTAATCTCAGCCAAACCAATTTACTCAGGAACAAATAAAATACTGAAAAAAGCCAAACAATAACATTTTTAAGTTATCAAAGTGACTCATATGTCATGTTTAACCTGAGTAGCAAAAGACGGCGGTGGGTTTGAAGACGATTTGCCGGGAGTCTGGTGTTCTCAGGGCTCTAGTGAGCCTTGCCCCCGGCTAGCTATCGAGCTAGCGGGTAACAGACGTCTCCGAAAACGTCGGAGCGCTTTTGAAAATATGCGGTGTCTTGATAAACTGAGCAGATATTTGAGGTTTACACAGCTACATTCTCGCCTGAAAATATGGTAAACGTTTATTTTGTGACCCAGAAAGAATAATAAGAGTAATATTAAAACTAACTAGCTGCCGCCATTGTTGGAAACTGAGCTGGGCCGCGCTATGAATTCTGGGACACAGTTTCTTCTTCTTCTGGGTTTAACGGCAACTGGCATCCTTGTACATGCAGTGCTGCCATCTTCTGTTTCAGTCCGTTATTACACTCTTAAATCCTACTACTTATTCCTGCGTCTTTTGGGGTCTTACAAAGCTTCAAAAGACGCGTCGACTATTAAATTAATCGTCAACGATTTTGATAGTCGACGTAATCGTGACTAGTCGACTAATCGTGGCAGCCCTAATATTCATCCAACCAAATTAGACACACAGCGCAGTGGTTTTTAACAGAGACTAATGTTGTTCTTATTTTTTTAATGCACTCATGGACGGGAAGGTGAATATTCACATGCAACATAAATTGGTAACAAAGTATTTAATGACATTAACATTTCATTTTTCCTGCATTTTTGTCTTTTGTTCTTTTCTTTTCTTTTATACCTGCTGAGTTTGTCTTAGTTTTGTTAATGTAGAGCCAGTAATGCGTTATCATTACTGCTTTTTTTCTGCCTTGTATATGTTAGATTTCTGTTGCTACCACACCACTGACGTTTGTTCAACAACAGTGGATTTCAATCCTGGTGAGCTTGATGGAGCTCTCTCAGTATACGCAGCAATAAAGTGCATGTCAGCGACTGTATCTTCATTACATCGTTTTGTTTTTTTCATTTGAGGACGTTTTGCAGCAAATAATTAGTGGCTTCATAGTTGTATAGTTTACACATTTGCAAGTTCCCTGGTTTGATCCAAGGAGGAGACACATTTGATGCTGATGGTTAAACAGCTGTATCAAATTAAGCATGGAGCTACCCGCTGTGGTAACTAAAATGATAACTTTGAACTCCAAATGTGTTTAACGTTTTGTGATTATTATTATCTTTATGTAGTTGAAAATCTCTTAATGGCTAAATTTTAAACTTTGGTTTATGAGTGTATTATTTGCTGCTAAAAGGTACTTTTTAATATGTAATTAATTTGTAATGCATTTCTGTTCTGTTTCTCTGCAGCGCCCAGAAGCCTCACTTGAAGACTCCTCACTGCGACGCTCTGTAAATTTTAAAGCTCCCGTCCAGGAGACTGGTGGAAATAATGAATACATCTGACTGACAGATGTACAGATGGTGTTAAAGTGAATTAACAGGATGACGGGATTACCACCACGCAGTGTGGTTGTTTGCTGCTGTGCGGTCACCCGTATGTGGCTATCCATGAGGAACAACTGCTCGGGATAATTGTGTTTTCCTGGTGAATTCTGATTTCCCGCTGGCAAAACGTTTGGGAAATCATGCAGCACCAGGCTGGAACAGTGTTGTTTACTCAGTTTGGTGTTCCTGTGTGCTTTTTGGTGTCTTTCAAATCGTTGTTAAAATTGGAACTATATTTGACGAGCTGTATAATAAGTCGGTGCTGCAAATTAAAAAAGATGTTTTGAATTTTTAACTACAGCCTGACTGAGGCCACATTTTTGGAACTGTTGGGGACTTTTAAGGAATAAAAAGTTCTGAATATGTGGAAATAAATACACTATTACTAATGTTGTTTGTCACTGGGCTTTACGATATTTTTATGTTTATTCTTCTGAAGAAATGCTACCACACATTTTGGTTTTGCTACATATTATTGATGAATAACTGGCCATCCAGCGATCCGTGTTTTGTGCCAGCTGCGCTCTCACTCGTTCTGTCGGCGGTGCTGGTTTAACCCGATGATGCGGCGGGGCGGGAGTGCTATCAGCTGGGTATGGTCGTGCGCGCTCCGTCTTTCCGAACGGATATTTTTGTAGCTGTGGAGATCAGGGAAATTATTTTGCTGCTATTGTTAATAATCATCATCATTACCATTGCATTAATAATATAATCTACAGTATTGATATTGCATTCAGATGTTTAAACAGTGTGTGTGTCTTTCATAAAGACTAAGTTGCAGGCTGACAGGAAATTGCAGGTTTGCAGAGTGTGCCTTTTACAGAAGTGAAACTGAAAGCAGAGTCTAAGTGCAGGTTATTCTGAGGAGCTGTTTGGACGAGGCTATGTGAATAACTAGGTTATTCAAATTGTCTTTTATACTTTTATATTCTTTGATTAAGCTTTTAGTAGAGGTTCCTGATTAAAACATTTATTCAACATATACATAGTTTCAGTTCGGTTATTACATATATGAGAGTGGCTTCTGTCTCTCTGTCTGGTGAGAGGTCAGGAGCTAGTCGGCGAGGTGAAATAGGGTACAATTGTGGTTAGCACACACACACTCAGTTAGAGAGAATCATTTATAGGTGAAAGTTTAATCATGTTTTGCTCAGGGTTGCAAAAGAGCAGTTTGTCGCAGAACTGCTGCTGATGTGTCAAGATGATAAGCGAGCATCCGGCAGTGACAGGAAGTACCTGCCATGAAGATGAAGACAATGTTCTTTTTAAACTGTGTTAAAAGTCATTGTGGTTTTGACCTATGTATGAAATGGATCTGACGTTGAGGGGGCGTCATTAAATTCAAGCCCTGATGGTATAAAATATCTGTTTATGCTTTGATTAAGTCGTGTAAGTGTATTTCATTAAAATCAATTGTCTGACCAAGCTCTTCTGGACCTGGTTGTTTGTACTCTCCTTCCTCAATATTTGAACCTTAACATTTGGGGGCTTCGTCCGGTGGTTGAGGAGGGAGAGAATTAGAAGGTGTAGACGGAGAAATTCGGTGGTCTGAGGTGGTCGGACGGGCAGACACGAGTGCCAGTGGTCGAAGTGAGAGGGCATAAGCCGGCTTATCCAAAGGTAAGGCACTACCTGTTGAATTATTTCCAAAGTGTGCCAAATTGGACATTACAAATTAAAGTCTACTCACTGAAATTACTGGTGAATGTCTGGTTTGATTTTGATGAAAATCTCATGACAGTACTGAGGATTTAAATGATTGAATGCGGTTGGACCGCTAAAGGATTTAATACGGTTGGACCGTGGAAAGCAGTTGGACTGCTTTTAGTATATTAGGGAATTTGGTTATTGTTTGGGGTTGGAGCCCCTATTGGTTATAAGGTTGGACCTGCTACAGTCTAACACTTTTTTGGGTGTTTTACTGTTGTTCCAAAGTATTATAAATTATTCAAGAACGTCAGTTGGACTGATAGGAAGCGCAGTGCTCAGAGGTAACGCTTGCCAATGCCAAGGACGCTTAGGCATTGTCCTTGAAGAGGGATAGTCAGTTGGTCACTGTGGAGCTTGGGGCACTCCAGAATAACTAGGAGTTAGAGTCTCCTTACCGTTTGGAACGGTAGTCTGCGCTTTTTTGGCCAGCAGAAGTTGGACTTCGGGCGTGTAACTTTAACTTAAAACTTTGGGGTAAGCCTTGGCTGTGAAATGGCAAAAATAGAGCTTCAGGCAAAGTTTGGGTTGGTTGACGCTTTTAAATTGAGTTAGGGATTTTAGAGATGAGGCCAGAAACTGTTGGACAGATACTGGTTAATTGATCACAAGAAAGTTGGACTTTATCGGTTGGACCGTTAACTTAAATTTGTCGAAATTGTTTAGGCGCTAAAGCTGACAGATCTGACAGTGGTTGTAAATATAAGACGTCTTTGTAATATAAAATAAGAGAGTTTGGTGTGAGAGGAGGTTGTGTGTCGACTCAGTAATGCACTGACTGTCTGCTGCTATTTTTAGATGGTGTGTGTGAAAATGCAAATTAGTAAGCAGTGAACTGTTTAAACCACAGTTGGTTTTACAAGTACTGCTGCAAACATTGTTGAATGTGTGTTTAAGACGCCATTTATGTTTATTAGAGGGCTATAAATAAAGTCTTGAGCTGCCGTAGTGAATGTATAGTAATTGACTGAGTTTTTTTAAATTTATATATATATATATATATATATATATATATATATATAGCCTACCGAGCCTACCGCAGACATGAGCGAGACAGATAAATATGAAGGCATGCCGGCTCGAACGTCGCCCGGATCAACAAGGTCCGCGTCAGGTGTTGAGGAACCAGGGCACCCTGACGACAACTGGGCTACTGGAACAAGAAGGCATCGGTGGGCAAGAGACGAAAACAGGGCGTTGTTGGAATGCTACTACGCAAGTAACCCTGGCGGAAGGGGCTACACGAATAGGATGAGGGGACCTATGGATTCTTCGATACCCAACATCCACAATGACGGTGAAACAACTAGTAGCTCAGTGTTCCAACATTCGAAAGAAGGGACTGCTATCACAGCTAGAGATTGACAAGGTACAACATAAATGCTATGGCAAAGAGGAGTCAGGACGCTTGAGGAGGTACACCAGAGAGATAGAAGGCAGGAGAATAAACCAGCTGTTCTCCACAGAACCAGCAAAGGTGTACTCTCAGTGGCAAGGGAACAATAAGAGACTGGAGACGGAGCAATACTGGAAGAGCATATGGGAGAAGGACGCAACCCATAACGGCAATGCTCAGTGGCTAGTGGATCTGAGGGCAGACCATAGCGACCTCCCTGAACAGGGTCCAGTAACCATCACAGTGGCAGATATCCAAGAAAGGGTCTCCAGTATGAAGAGTTGGACAGCACCATCACGCCTACTGGCTAAAGAAGCTGACTGCACTCCACGAGCGTCTGGCAGCACAAATGAACCAGCTGCTAGTTAACAAGAGACACCCGGAATGGCTAACCAAAGGTCGAACGGTCCTGATCCCCAAGGACCTCAAGAAGGGACTGGTCCCATCCAACTACCGACCAATAACCTGCCTCAGTACTACATGGAAGCTCCTGTCAGGCATCATATCGGCTAAGATGAACAGGCACATGGGTCAATACATGAGTGGGGCACAGAAAGGGATTGGCAAGAATACCAGAGGCGTAAAACACCAGCTACTGGTAGACAGAACAGTCAGCTGAGACTGCAAGACCAGACTGACCAACCTGTGCACTGCCTGGATTGATTACAAGAAGGCCTATGACTCAATGCCCCACAGCTGGATACTGGAATGCTTAGAATTGTACAAGATCAACAGGACCCTAAGAGCCTTCATCAGGAACTCAATGGGGATGTGGCATACAACACTAGAGGCCAGCTCCAAGCCCATAGCACAAGTCACCATCAAGTGCGGGATCTACCAAGGAGATGCTCTGTCCCCACTGCTGTTCTGCATAGGCCTGAACCCCCTCAGTGAGATCATTAACAAGACTGGCTACGGATACCAACTACGGAATGGAGCAGTTGTCAGCCACCTCCTGTACATGGATGACATCAAGCTGTAGAAGATCCATAGAGGCTGGGGTCTATCACACCAGGCAAGACCCCAGGTGCAGGCTGTGGAAAGATGCCCCAGAGACAATCCAGCACATAACAGTAGGGTGCAAGATGCTAGCAGGCAAGGCATACATGGAACGCCATAACCAAGTGGCCGGCATAGTGTACAGGAACATCTGTGCCGAGTATAACCTGGAAGTCCCGAGGTCAAAATGGGAGATGCCCCCAAGGGTGGTGGAGAATGACCGAGCTAAGATCCTGTGGGACTTCCAGATACAGACGGACAAAATGGTGGTGGCTAACCAACCGGACATAGTGGTGGTAGACAAACAGAAGAAGACGGCCGTAGTGATCGATGTAGCGGTTCCGAATGACAGCCATATCCGGAAGAAGGAACACGAGAAGCTGGAGAAATACGAAGGGCTCAGAGAAGAGCTCGAGAGGATGTGGAGGGTGATGGTAACAGTGGTCCCCGTGGTAATTGGAGCACTAGCGCGGTGACTCCCAAGCTAGGCGAGTGGCTCCAGCAGATCCCGGGAACAACATTGGAGATCTCTGTCCAGAAGAGCGCAGTCCTGGGAACAGCTAAGATGCTGCGCAGGACCCTCAAGCTCCCAGGCCTCTGGTAGAGGACCCGAGCTTGAAGGATAAACCGCCCGCAGGGGCGTGCTGGGTGTTTTATATATATATATATATATATATAGTGAGTGCACTGTATATATTTAAGACTAACATATTACTTTTAGTAGTAACCTCTCTCCAGCAATAATTGCTGGTGTGTTTTATTTTTTCAATTTCTTGTGTGTGCGGTGAGAATAATAGAGGTTTCAATTGTTTTTCTTTTTGACTTGCTCTTTCTGATTATGAAAGGCATGTCTAAAATACTCTTAGGAAAGCGTGTTTTGAGTTATATTCCTCAACTCTTGTCACAGTTTAAGTGTGTGAATGCCGTGAGTAGTAGGCTTTGAGTGATTGGGTGTGATTTCTACAAAATAATAAATAATAATAACACCATGAAAGTTGATAGTAGAGTGCGTGCAGAAGTGGAAGTGTGAGAGAAAAAGGCGGTGTGTGTGAGACGATTCCTGATGTCTGAAAGAGCTCTGCTGAGCACGCTGAAGACTGTGATGTGAATACTGACAAATGCAAAGAATTTAGTATATTTAAAAGTGTGTGCGTGAAACAAGGGTGCATTGTTTTTAGATCAAGACTTAGTAAAACTAAACAGTTTGATTAGGTTGTAAAATAGGAAAGAGAAACAGGAAATATGGCTCTGAGTGCTGTGTGTGTGTGACAGGAAATGGTGTGTGTG